GGACTGGGAAAAGACTTTCATCATTTTTTGTTTGCTCAGAAAACCCGCTACCTATCGGGGTCTGACTCTGCCTACAGTTCAAAATAGTCATTTTGACTGACTGGAGTCTATGGTGGGTAATTGAACGTAGTGAATTTAGGCAGAGGGTTCTCCAAACCCGCCTATTCACATAGTTCATATCCACTATAGACACCCCCCAACCACCCCACTTTTTCCGTAGCGTTGGTCTAAGTCCTTGAGGCGGAGAGAAAGGAACCAGAGTGATTGTACAGCCGTCAATGGCGCTGCCATTTGGCCTCGGTCATGTGGTTCCTGACGTAAGGGAAAAAGAATCTTGGGGTCATGGGGCTTCCCCTGACCTAGATTTTATCTCTCCGTCATTGGCAGAATCGCTGATTAATGCCTACAGTTCAAAATAGTCATGTTGACTGACCGGAGTCTATGGTGGGTATGAACTATGTGAATAGGCGGGTTCAGAGAACCCTCTGCCTAATATTCAACTTGCCTGTCACAGATACATAGTATTTAGATAACTTAAATAACATGTATAAACTAAATTGTATAATACTTGATTGTTGGATACATATTTAAAGAAAAAATTCCATTTTCAGAAAGTTGGGTAATGTATTAGGCAGCCATGTTGGTTTTGTTGTGACATTCAATTGTCTTAGATGTACGTATGCAACAAAATCTTATTTTTTTACAGGATTGCTGAGGCGTTAACACGTGCAGGAAATGCCTTGTGGTTCACCAAACCTGATGGGTATGTATGATGAATTAAACTCGAGCTTCACTTTTTTTGTGGAAAAATGTGGAAAAAGAAAACTCAGTTTCCATTAAAAAGCATAAAATTAAAGACACTCACCGACCAACATGTGAAACGTACCTTGGGAAAAAAAATTGACCTTGGCTCCTTACTTAAAGCTGTATTACCAGTAATATATTTACCAAAAAAAGAAATGTGACATTATTCTTATGCTGTTAATAAAAAATTCTATGATATTATGTATCTCCATACAGCATTTGTTTGTGATTGGTGTTACACAAAATGTAGGCGTCAATTCAAAATATTGTAACAGTTGTGTTCTCTGATCCATCAGTGACCCATTGACATATCCATTTGTATTTCTTAGAGTTTATAAACAGCAAACTAACTCATTCTTAGGAAAATTAGCATATTTGGTGGAAGATAATTACTGAGCGTAGGTGATATTATCAATTGCAGCAAATATGCTAATTTTTCCCATAAAGGTTTCATATTTAAAGGTTTCATTTCTAAGGATGCAATAAAGTTATTATTATTATTATTATTATTATTATTATTCGCTACAAAATACCAAGTGTAGCGTTGATAACAATTCTATAGAACATTTAATAAGAATTTTTATGAGTTATTCTTGACACTTACACATTTTCAGGAAAGTGTACTAAAATTCAGAAATCTATAAATTAAAAAAAAAGCATTCCCTAGGCACGATATAGTGACCTAATAAAAGCAAATCCAACCCTCATTGTAGTCTTAGGAGCTTTAAAAATAGAAAAACAAAAAGGTACCCCATCAGTCAAGATATATGATTTTTTTCAGCTTATGTAACCAGCCTAAAATTTAAGATATGACATTTTATCTCTGCCATAGAAACCTATGGTTAAAGCACTATTGCCAAAATGGCCCCCTACCAACTAAATTACAAGCATAATTTTCTCGAAAATTAAGCTGGTCACCAAACTTTTTTTAAGTCAATACTCTTATTTTAATTGAAAATGAATAATTTCTGGGCATTTACATTCATGAGTTGCCTTCTACCTTAAGACCAATAATTGTAATTTTATTTTGTTTATCTACTTTGTTTACAGAACATCATTCAAGATGGCAGATGCTATAAATGACATGGAAGCATATGTTCAACTGGATGATGGAATATTCAATCACATAATCAGACAGTATGAGAATAACGATTTCACAAGCGCGATAAACTTTTTAGCAGATATCAAAGAAGTGGACGAAGAAGCCATGAAAGCCATTGGTTCTCTGAAGAAATATATGGAGGAACGTTTTTCAAGCGATCTAGAATGGGCAAGAGAATTGCTGATAAGAGTTGTAAAACGAAACATATATAAACTAGTTAAGAAAATCCCTTTTACCGAAAATGTGGTTAATGTTCAGGTAAGATTTATGTATACATCTACCATATTTGCTCTATTAGTAGCATATGCACTTAAATAAATGGCAGAGTTCATCAGCATTGTTAGCAGCATTGCATTGAATCGGTTCAACAACACGGCCTGTATTTAACTCAAATGTCCGTAAAAGTGCTTTCCTGGACATGTTGGGGGGCAACAGAATGCCCAAGCATGCAATTTTCTCCCTCAAATCAGCGGCAGACCAATTTGAAGGATTGGAGAGGTCGAGACCTTGACTCCTAAGTTGACGAATTGTAGCAGGCAAACGCCTTGAACTTACATCAGCTGATGTTGACTGAGTTGGATCTACATCGTTAAGTAGCAGAACCTCCGCTGCGAGGCGTTTCCGACCCCAGTGACTTATAGTGTTGCTCTCCATGGTGTTCGGAATATAGTCGTGAGGAGTAAATTCAAGTGAATTTTAACTCTGAGAAAATCAAAACACTGGACTAAAAAACTGAACTGTTCAAGATGGCTACAAACTAACAATTGCGTCACACGAAATCACGTGATAAATGGGCGAGATTCATGTCATAAACACTGTTTAATGCATACACAATAAACATGTATTGCCGATGCATTTCTGATAGGAATAAATAGTCAATTTCTTTCATGTATGCTCTCTTAAAATTAATTGATCATAAACTATTTATTTATTGTGTCATAATGATTTTCTAGCTGTAATTAAAGGAAAAAAAAAGGAAAGTGTTATGAACGGGAATACGAGATAGTCTCCTGCGAACCTGGCCACAAATATCCCACACTCCAGGACGCAACACTAAAGGTCAAACAAAGGCACACAACCAGATTATGTCAAATAATACTAATTTACTAATACAATATTAAAGCATAAACCATAAACAGGAGTAATATAAATTACACACCGGTCAGCAGTAAACATTACAATAATAATACCAATAACGATAATAGCCCAGCTCGGGATTGCCTACTCTATCCTATCACAATCTCTAGAACCCTTACAGCGATCAGTGAAAAGTTTTCTACAGATCATACAAAGTCGGAATGCAGCTTTTAATCTGTAGCTACAGTTTCATATAACTACCGGTATATCAGAAACACCAGAACAAATAAATGCCTGCAAACTTGGTATATGATCACTGTTTGTCTCGGTCAATATCTGATAACAGGTTGTAAATAATCTGTCCATATAAATGTGTCAGATGGCCATAGTGTGTCATTGTTTACAAACAAACATCCTCCCATGAGCCTTTGCATTTTAGCGTGTGTTGTTATTGTCCTTTGGGACTCAATTCGTGCGTGTGCGCTGGTAACGATCTTCCCGCTTTAAAAATAAACTATTTTCAGCAGTTTTATTCTGTGGTTTTATCTAATTAGTTGAAATCAAGTGAAGCTTGATGTATTAACATCACTTAAATTTTGTTTTGTTTACGATGATTTGTTCACTATATATTAACCGTTTCACCGACAATTTCCTCTTTTCATCACAAAAGATTGGGACAATAATAGCCAAATGTTTTTAGTGCAAACTGAAAATTGACTCAAATTTGATCTGTTGGCACCAAAATTAGGGCTCGTTTCCAGAAATATTGAAGAATATAAGAACAAATGCAGGAAAATGTGGGCGAGAAAGTCTGGTGGTGAAAAGGTTAAAGTACCAATAACTTATTTGTTCATTTTAGGAATTGGCTGATACCATAGTGCAACATGATACAGACCTGACAGCTGATGATATTGTACTGAAGGTAAGGACAAGAAATTTCTTTACTAAAATGCCCAGGTTGGTCTGATGGTGACTGAAAAATACATTATGTAACAATAAATATAGTTAACATATAAAAGCCTCGTGGATAACTGACTCGAATGGGAAAAAAATAGCGACAACACAAGAGATGTCTTGACAGCAAATTTTTGTATGTTTGTACAAATATACTACACTTTTTAAGGCAGCAATATTCTTTGATTCTGTTTTCAAATAGTCTTTATATTCAAATTACCTTTTTATCACAGATTATTAAGTTCAATTATGGCATGAAGGAGAAAAACCCAATTGACAACTTATCATTTTATACAAAAGAAAAGCCAGATGAATCTTTCCAGATTACTAAAAATGAGGTAAATAAAATTCATTTATTTTGCATTTCTAGAAAAGCACATAATTATCCTGTGATTATTTGTTTTTTCATTCTTAATTTTTACAAAGTAGGAATTGTATTATCATTAATCCTTATCAAATCATTTTCAACTTCCATTCTTTTTGGACATTAAAATAAATTTTAAAAAGCTGAGATCTGAGTCTCAGAATATTTTACACAATAATTTGCATGATGAGTGATCATTTGTCTTTGTTGACTTAAAGTTTGGAGTCTGTATGTCCATCTGGTGTACAGCTTGAAATTTAATTTCACCAAAGAAATATATAATATATAAATATATAATTATGCATCAACTTGTATTGGATCCTGTCTGTCTGTGTATTTGCAGCGTTTTTCACAGATGTTCTGCAATGGACTTTAGTCAACATTTTTCTAAATCTGAGTATTTTAAAAAGAGCGCTTTTTGACAGTTGTGACAGTTGTTCTTTCAGCATTCATTAAGAACAGTCAGAACTAATTACAGTATAACTTTTGCTTTCCTGGCTAATACACTTTTGTAACTTATTAACAGCCAGAACATGTTAATTTTGTAGGTGTCGTATCTCCTGCCTAGTGTATTTCAGGAGCAAGTTTTATTTGTCTTTGTAAAAGATGTCTCCAAAAGAAAAATTGTTGAAAAATGTATTGAACTATGGAAGGAGAAGGAGGAGGAGGAAAAGAAGAGGAGGACAATGAAGAAGGTATGTCTTTGAGAACATTAGGTTGGGAAAGAAACATGCATTTATATATACATCATACAAGTGCTGGTGCATACTATGTATAGTATCCAGCTACGGTATTTATGTACGTTTAAGGTATTCATAGTTCTCAGTAATTCTGTGTCTTTTTGTTTACAAATCAAGTATGTATGAATATTTTATTAAATGCATATCCAGGTTTAAATTGTATTGCATATTAGGTACTTATAATTGGTCAGAATGTGGAGATTGTAAGAACATAAAGAGGTAACTGTTTGGTCACAAATGGAAACTAAATGAGGGCAACCAAATAACTTCCACTTACATACGAGACTTTATAGAAAAAGCACTTCCGGCTTCTACTGTGAAAGGTCATAAACATCATTTCAAATTTGTGTAATTGCAATATTTTTTTAATAATAACTTTATTATGCAACTTAACCATCTGTGGGTTTAGTACGGTAAAAAATGATTACAAAGACAAATAAAATAAATTAAGAGAAAAGAAATAAAAATTAGAAAATCTCTGAAAGATTGATTAAACAGCAGCAAGGTTCTCCCAGACCACAGTTACGTACGGTATTTAACCTAGTAGAAAATTGTATTTTTTAAATAATATGATAAAACCATATAATTTCCCATTATTTTCATGAATCTTTCCATTCTGGACAACTCATTAATTTTTATTATAAAATACTTCAAGACTTGGTTCATCCCTACTTCATAGAAATTGCAATCTAAGATGAAATGTAGAATGGTTTTTAATTGATCCGTTGTTTCGTTCACATTCATGCTTTTTATTTAAGAAATGTATAAAGATTCTTTTCAACATTTTGAATTTTGTAAAATATTTTTGAAATTATTTTTTTACTCCCGCGTGCGAAGCACAAAAAAGGAGTCTTTGCAGTTTAATAGTGTGTCTGTCTTTCTTTCTGTCTGTGTGTGTGTGCATGTGTGTCTGTGTGTCTGTGTGTTTGTGTCTGTTCCACTGATATCTCAAGAACCATACATTGATTTTTGATGAAACTTGGTGCATAGATGCTCTGGGCCAATGCGCAGATATGATTAGGTTTTGGTAAAAATCCATGCATATTAATTACCTAATTTGCATGATAATTAGCTGATTTTTAGCTGTTCCATGATTGTTCCACTGATATCTAAAGAACCACTCATTGGATTTTGATGAAACTTGGCACATAGATGCTCTGAACTAATGCACAGATTTGATTAGTTTTGGATAAAAATCTGTGCAATATTAATTACCTAATTTGCATAATGATTAATCAATTTTTGGCTTTTCCACTGATATCTAAATTACTAATCATGACATTTCAATAAAACTTGGAACATAAATATTATAGGACACTGCACAGACCTGATAGTTTTTAGGGTAATATCAGTACATATTAATGACCTAATTTGCATAATTAATTAATTTTCAGCTTTTGATATTTCAAGTAGTAATCCTCACATTTCAATGAAACTTGGTACATACATGTAGTTACTTAAGGACTGTGCAGAGACCTGATTAGTTTTGGGGTAAATATTTGTGCATATTAATCACATTATTAGCATAATTAGTTAAATTTCAGCTTTTCGTCTGATAACTCAAGTACTGATCATCATATTTCAATGAGACTTGCTACATAGATCCTTTAGGACTATGCAGAGACCTGATTAGTTTTAGGGTAAATAATTGTGGATATTAATTACCTAATTCGCATAATTACTAATTTTTTCCATGAATGTTCCACTGATATATAAAGGACCACTAATTGGATTTTAATGAAACTTTTATAGAGTATTCATCATCACATTTCAATGAACCTAGGACTATGCAGATACCCAATTAGTTTTTGGTAAATATTTATGCTTATTAATCACCTAATTTGAAATTAGGTTGAAATTTGTTCATATTAATTCTCTAATAATAATTCATAGTTTTTTTGTTCTAATCACATTTCAATGAAACTTGGTACATAGATATTACATTACGCAGGTCTTATTAGTTTTACACTCAAATCTGTTCATATCAGTTACCTGATTTACATAATTAGTTTTCAGCTATTCCATCAATATCTCAACTACAAGTAATTTTGAATTAATTTTTAATGTGTCTTCAATACTCTTAGCACACGGGAGTTCTTTCTAAGCTTTCTTCAAGTCTTCATCCCATATGTATTTGGGAGGGAGTGGGTTTAACCTATCCATCTTTTCATTGTTTCTTTCTCCCTCAATTGCCAATTACATTTCAAATGAACAGTGATCTGACATGTAGTTTAAGTCATTCACTTTGAAATGCTGTATGTATTTATACATGCTTTTAGTACATACACAATAATCAACCAAACTGGATCCAGCTGGATGATAACATGTATAATTTCCCACTAGGTCACCAACTGTTCTCCCATTAACAATTATCATATTATTACCAATACAAAGTACATTTGTCACCTAAGCCATGTACATTCCAGCTGCCTAGCTCTGGGTTTGTTCTATTAATTTGTTTCATTTATTTGATTGCCTAACTGTGGACAGTAAACAGGTTGTAGGTGTTGTATATAAAACAAAAAAGAAGAAATAATTTGGCATGTTCTCATCATAATGGTGATTATACATATAATCTCTTCTTTGTTTAATTTGTCTTTATAATATCAGAATCGTAATGTAGATTGTCGTCATAATCTTTGGGCATGTTGGTACAAGTCTCTTTGATTATGGCCTTTATATAATGCATCATCACGGTATTGATTATTATGCATGTTGGCATAGATTTTTCGTCTTTCTGTTTCTGTACTAGTAGCGATGACACCTGCGGTATTCATTGTTATTATCATTTTGTTGTTTTCTCCATTTCTGTTGGTGTCTATATCCATTATTGCGTTGTGATCCTGTTATCTGTTTTGTGTTTAATTTGTCTTGTTGGAAAGTGATTGTCTCTGTATCTGTCATGGACACGCTGTGATACATTACGTAATGTGTATTTAATATCACCTACTATTAAATACCATTGATAGTAATGTGTATTCCATCATCACAATAGAATTCTTCATAACCACTGTTTCCTGTGCTCTATATAGAGACATTGTTCAGTTTCATCACATTTGTTCTTTATTCTGTGATTCAATTTTGTTACGTCATAGTTTATACTGTCTTTGTTTCTCTGCTGCGACAAAATACTTGATACAGCAATCTGTGCACCAGAAAACTTGTTGCGTATATTATCAATCAGACTATATCCATTTGTCCACTGACAAAGTCAATGTCATTCTTAATGTCATTTGTCCCGATATGCATTATTACTCTATTTACATAATCAATGTTTTTAACATTGTGAATGTAGGTAGTAGCCTCACTAACTGTTGGTGCAAATATTTTCCTTACTACTTTGCCATGGTACATATCGGATAAGTAATACCTCAACATTACTTATTAAAATCAGAATTACTATTTTCCGATAATTTTCCTCCAATATTTTTTATAAGAACCACCACCTTTTCAGCATACAGACTGGCAATTAAATCAACAGCTGACTGTAGACAAATGTGATTTTGTTTTAAACAAGGCCATTGCATTTCTTTTGATATTCATTTGATAGAAATGAAAATTTACCTTGTCAAGGACAAATTGTCTGTAACATGTTGATGTCAACAGTGTTTTCTTAGGCACTGCATATGGTCTTATTAACCTAATGAGCAGCATTGTCAACTGTTTTCACCATCTTATTAGTAGTGCATGTAAAGGGGAACCGATACTATAAATATAGGCAAGATTACCACCGCAATTGATATGCTAATCTGAACCAAGCCCGCTCACATCGTGTCGGGAGCTCCGGGAAATGTGCC